GGGGGGGGGGGTCCCGTGGGTGCAACCATATTCTTGTCCTGGCTGGGAGAGGGGCGGGGAGTCGGAGATCACGCCGTCATCATGGTACGGGAGTCGCTAGTGTTGACGGGAAAGCATGCGGCGGTGCCCCCCGACGGCGTTTGAGTAGCAGATCGGTGCGAAATCACTCTTTGGCCGTGCGTGATGGGAGTGGTGCCCTAGCGGGGGGTGGGGCAGCAATGTACCGTACCGTACAACAGAAGATGAGGAGGGGATACCTCACCGACGTTGGTGTGGGCTGTGGTCCGTCCATGCCGTCCGCGAGGTGGCGTCCTGAAATGTGGCGGTGGTTGTGGTGGTGCGATGTGACCGCATCTGCTCCTGCCGCCCCGCCGTTGCCCCGCACGGTATGTTCGCTCCGCGTGCTACCCCCAGTTGTACCAATCCCGTCCTCGTGTACGGGTGTTCGGCTTTCAGGTCTTGTCGGTCGGTCACAGGGAAACATGGAGCGTTGATGCTGTGGGAATTAGCTCCGCACGTGGCCCCGAAACACATGCGTCCAAAGACACATGCGTACACAGAGCCCAACTGAGTTGTTGTGATGGCACATTCCCTAAGATCGCCCTGTCTTTGCTTTGTCTGACCTTTCCCTGTACGTCCGTTTCCCACAGCTACCCTCGGCGTGGAGGTGCGCCCTCTCCCCTTTCACACCAACCGCGGGCCGATCAAGTTCAACGTCTGGGATACCGCAGGGCAGGAGAAGTTCGGCGGGCTTAGGGACGGATACTAGTGAGTGGACCGACTCTGTCGGACTTTGGAGGCGTGCAGCGTGCGACATGGGCGTCTACTGAATGGACAGATTTTGGCAGTTTTTGGTTGGGTGATGTAATGTTGGCGTCCACGGCAGTGGTGGATCACGTCCACAAACTTTGAAGCACCACTCGCGTACGACCGCGTCAACAGCAGTTGTGCCTGGCACTGCTATTTAGTCTTGTGGCTTACTCAAGGCGGGGTCTTGAGCGTGGTGTACATCCTCGAGAACCACAACCCGCTTCCTCTGCCCTCCCGCCACAGGACCACATCTCTACGCCGATGCCACGTACAACCTGTACTATTGTTTACGGCGTCCCTGGATAACACGATGTAGGCCTGTTGGGCCGTGTTGTGGTCTATCGTTTTGTCCGGCCTCGTCATACCCTGTTGTGACGTTCATGACTTTGAGGCCATCTCCAAGCGTTGGTTCGAGAGCCGCTTGTTAACTGTGGGTGACGGGAAGTACCTCTAACTTGACACGCCTTTTTGTTTTTGTCGTATCTTTTTTCGTGCTCCCCCGCCCCCCCCATGCCAACTGCCCTTCTCTGTCCGCGAGCGTAGCATCCAGGGTCAGTGCGCGATCATCATGTTCGACGTGACGAGCCGCATCACCTACAAGAACGTGCCTAACTGGCACCGAGACTTGACGCGAGTCTGCGAGCACATCCCGATCGTTTTGTGCGGGAATAAGGTGCGTACGCCCTACCTGCGGTTCCTCACATCGTTTTTCCCCCCAACTTTTTTCCGCTCTTCCGAGTCGTCTTGCTTGAACTGCCGAGTATGGGATCGAGTTGTTGTCGTCTCCCCATCCAAGTCGACATCCCAAGACCTGCTGAGCCTTGTTGTGGTGTCTTGAACCAGATATTAGGCTCTGTGAGAGATGAGCACCGTTTACAGCGTATCTAGAGGGGTCAATTGAGTCAGGCAGAGAGGGGGACGAGAGATGTTGGCCCATGTTATTGTGTGGAAATCACTTTGTTGTTGCGTGGGGGCAAATCATCGCACTCACGCGGGCAACAAAAATCGGAATGCCAGAACGGCAAGGACAAACCTCCCTGCTGCACGGGTGCACATGTTTGTCTACACGGAAAGAACGAGTCGTTGTGTATGATTGTGTTTCGGTGTTGACGCTCGCGTTTGTTCTGATCCCGCGGGTTGCCTGTCTGTGAGATGTGCCGCATGGCGACGTTTCGAAATCGCTTGGATGCCGGTGCCGAAACACGTTGAACATGCTTGGGACGATGTGGCCAATAGAGCCGGGATACGGCGAAGGGCTTTCCTTGACATGCTTTAGAGGGTGATCAACGAGTTGTACTCGTGGAAGACTTTCTATGTACAGATTGATGCGCTCTTGTTTCTGGGTTGGATGCCAACGGAACCTACCCCTTGCCACGTACGCGACTCCCCCGCACCACGTGTAATTCGTCGTCGCCGTGTTGTGTTGTGCATTGTGCAGGTAGAAATCAAGGACCGCAAGGTTAAGGCAAAGCAGATCACGTTCCACCGCAAAAAGAACCTGCAGTACTACGACATCTCGGCGAAGTCCAACTACAACTTCGAGAAGCCCTTCCTGTGGCTGGCCAAGAAGCTCGTCGGGTGAGGGGCACTACAGCAGCAGCAGTTGTCGTCGTTGTCGTCTTTGTTGTTGTTGTTGCTGTTGTTGTTGTTGGCATCGGTGTTGTTGTTGCTGTTGCCTTCACGTTGACGGCCGTTCCGGCTTTGTTCGGTACCTTTCGTGATCCGCACTAGTCCACCTGGCTGAGCCTGCTTTCGTGGTCACAGGCTGACGTCTCCGAAACAGGGAATACTTCACACTTGTAGAAATCAAACGGGAAATTGACTCAGTAGAAGATCCTCAAACAAACGCGCTGGCAGATACGACAAAAGCAGTACCGTCGCGTAGCGAGACGAAGAAAAACCACATTTTTATTATTCTTCAGAGAAATTGTGATCCAAGCAGTCGGTCTGGGTCAGAGGGCGGTAGATTACGATACTGCCACAGAGTGGTTCCACATCAGACTCGCTTGGTCCGGAAACTTGCGTGCGCCTTGAGATGCCTCGTTCCAATCAAATCGATGCGAATTTCGCCATTTATGGTTTCAGGTACACACGCGCCACCCCTGATGTATATATACTTCCTCTGTCACATAAGAAAGGTCCGTTATGGGGGAATTTACATACCTCACAAGCCAAGGTGTTCCTGAAGCTCTGGTTAGGTTTGTTGGAAAGCGCTTGTTACGCACATAACTTAAAAAAAGGAAAAAATCCGACTCACAATTACTGAGAATTAGTGTGTCAAATACGGGACTTTTTTGCGAATATTTTGCGAATGTTTTGAAAACATTTTGAGAATATTTAAAAGAATATTTGCAGCTTTGTGCTGTGTGAGCACCCACTACCATCACAACGACGTAGCTATCATGGGGGACGACGCCCAGACACCCCCACGTCGTGAGCGGGGTGCGGAAGTATCGTTGGGTCGTCGGTACGCCATGACGGTGGAGATAGCGTTGGCGATTCCGCCGGGCAAAGAAAGGGTACCCAAGGGCTTTCTAGGCCCCCTCGCCGAGCGGTACGGCGTTGGTAGTGATTACCCCAGAAAACATTGGGCGGACGCGACATGGGTCGTTGAGTACAAGGGGGGGTAGGGTTAGGACCCTACGCCTGTCGGCTTTGCCCCGCAAGTAACTTGATTTTAGTGTGGGATTCGAAAATGTCTTGATTTTAGTGTGGGTTCACTACTACGTTGGTTTTTGTATGGGATGACGCGAAATGGATCGTTCAGTAGAGGTAACCTTGGGTTTAGTGTTCGGGATAATTCTTGTCTTTTTTTGGTATGTTTCGTTTCGTGCCCCACCCCCACCCTTTTTTGGCCTGACTACTTTTTTGTAAGCCGCTAGTGCATGCAGGGTAGTGCGCAAGAAAAAAAAAAGAAATATGGGTTTCAACCGGAAAAACGCTCAAGATTTCATAAAAAGTATCGCGTAAGACATCGGACACGGCATAATGGCCGTGTAATCATAACGGACTTTACTTATGTGACAGGAAGTATATTTTTGGCGCGAGCCATGAAGTTGAGTGCCTTGAAATGCCCCTGTCCACGATATTGTTGTGTTTTTTGCGGGGAGTCTTGTACCACAGTTGCTTGGTACCCGTGTAGCTGTTAAAAGTGAAGTCATGGCCTGAGTGGATTTGCGTGGAGACATGAGTTTTTGCCTGTCGCCGCAGATTGTGGATGGTGTCGGATGGTACTACAGTGGTGTTGTTGTCTCGTGATTTTTTACATGCTTGATCCGTGGACGGTGCACAATGCAGGGGTGCATGTGTTTTTCCCATCAGAATGTTTACTATCGCATCGGTTTGTTGGTCAACCGGATCGTATCGGGATGTGCTAGCTGTCCTTTCTCTTTTTTTTTCTCCCCGATGTGTATCATAGCCAAGCATTCATCCTCGGCTCTTGGCGGGGAAGTGCGAACCAGATCATTGACGACTTGTACTTGTGTTGATGACGAGTAAATCGTATAGTCTTGCTTGCTCATCGTCGTAAGATGATAATGCTCCGCTTCTTACCCTTCAAACTCTTTCCAACCCATGCTGATGCGCATACGCAACAATCGTTGGTTTCTTGTTGCAGGGACGCAAACCTTCAGTTCGTGGAGCAACCCGCGCTTCAGCCACCGGAGTTCGTCATCAACCAGGCGGACCAGCTTAAGTTCCAGCAGGAGATCGACGCGGCCGCAGCGGTGCCCCTCCCCGACGAGGACGACGACCTGTGATGATTTTGCGGTGCTCCCTGCCACTTCTCCCTTTTCCTCCGTACCCGTAAACCACGAGAAAGTATATACAAGAAAAAAAAAGAATGGGGCGGTGGTCGGACGTCATCGATTTCCTTTTTGCTGCCGCCGCCCTCTTGAGGCTTGTCAAGTACTGGACTAATCGGTTCTGACTTTCAGTCACGCCCACTGCTGTCTTGGGGTTGAAGCCCTCACCCCCCCCCTACGGCCGTGACCGGGATTTTGGTCAGACTACATACACCATCCGCGGTGATGTGGCGGCCCGTCTGACGCGTCTTCCCGGGTCACCCTCCGGGGAGACGATGGGTGGTTGATGATGATCGTTGTTGTTGTTACTGCGTGTGTGTGTGCCCGCGACACCGTCGCGGTGATGATGGCGGCGTTGATTTTTTCTGCCGACAGAACTGGTTGGGTGACGCCAACGAGTTGGAAGGGCAACGGCAGGGGCAAGTACAGATGGTCTGCGAGGACCGGGGGGTGCAGCAGCTGCAGACCTGAAGCTTGATTTCGGGGGTGCCGACTAGCGGGCGGTTGTGTGCGGGGTGATTATGGAGACCGAGTAGTGTTGGTTTGTCTCACGGTGGTTTTTCTTGGTTGGCCATGGTCTGGTCTGTTGAGTTGTGCTTGCCTCGTCTCGCGGTGTACTCCTACTTAGTCTGTGGCAGCAGTAGGCAGGTGGTAAGTAGCAGCTCTTTTCCCGCTCGGTTGCTGCATTCGAGTCTCTCTCCCCACAAAGAACGCGATGGCTACTATGGTACCCTCTCTTTCGCTCTGTTGCTTGTTCCAGCCCGTGTTTCCCGGATGGATGCGGTGGACCGGGGCGTGCGAGGGAAAAAAGACGGACGGAGAACAACAAGAAGCGGGAAATGACAGCGCTCGCTTTTTGTCGTGTCACTGCGTCGCAAACAGTTCGCTGGCCTGTCATTGTCTCTGGCGTCCGTTGATCTGACGTGTTGCGCTCTGTGGACGTTATTCCACTGTACAAGCTTGGTCGACACCCGTAGCAGTTCATCGTAGAGTGAAGGGTTGGTAGCCTCGGGGGCAAGGATCGCGTGATGGGTCGGTGTTGAGCCGGGGCACGCACCGTAGCGGTCGGGAAGATGCCTCGCAGGGCTTCCTGGTTTTCCTGATCTCGCCTGGCCTTCCGCCCCTAACCGGTAGTGAGCATGACCAGGGCGGCGGGCCGACGTCCTCTCTTTCGGGGGGTTGGTTTGTGATTTTGATGGGGGGGTGATCACGTGGGAATGAATGTTATGATTGGTAATAGTGTGGGAAGTGAGTCACTTTGGTTTGTTTCGAATTTATGCAACATGGAGGAATGTTTAATCGTGTCTCCCATGAGCGCGGCACCACTGTTGAATGCTGTGGCTCACATTCCGCTAGCAGTTCCTCATCCACTCTGTATCAAAATCTCTGGTGAAACATGGGCAGTTGTAGTAAACAGTGACGCGACATCTTGCGCACATACTTGCAAGGATCGCGACGAGTGTCTTGTGTTTCAACTTTGACCTAGGGATACACATGATAGTGGGCCCTTAAAACAACGCTCGTTCAAGAATGCCGGTGGCCCTGTATTGCCCCCGTCGATTCGCGGGGCACTTACTGGCGTTCTTGGGGGCCCTCCGCTGTACCCCTGTCCATCGAGCGTGTACCGACTGAGAGGCCAGCTCAGCTGTGATTCTCCATCGCGGTATCTTGTTTTCTCTGGCCATCGATGTGGCAAGAGTGTCGTCGGCGAAAGACGAACGGGAGCACAGTGTGTATGCCGCAATTCTGTCCTGTCGAGAGCCCGAGGTGCATGAGAACGCGATACTCCGACAGCATTAGCTGTGCAGAGTTTTTTCATGGTGCAACGAAAAACGTGGTGCGCCATTGAAAACACATCCAACGGGCGGGGACGGATGCTGCACATGATTGCCAAATGGGCGGAAACAACCCTCAACTCTGTGTGCCCCAAAGGATTTTGATCGAATGTAGGACGCGAACAATACCAGTCAGTACCAATGGACCTCCCTGGTGTCATCACAACAGCTGTGCTATGTACGTTCTCCTGCACGTATCTGGTGAACCAGTTCTAGGAAGAAAATTGCTAACTAGCCTGGCGCACAATAATAATGCAGTTTCAGGAATCGAACACGGGCGCTATGAAAAGCGGTGGGGACCCTCATGCCCTGGCGGTACGGCGTTCGACATCACAATTGTTCACAGTAGTGGCCAAAGCACCAATGTCCGGATCCTTCGTTTCCCGGCACGTCGGGGGGAGCTGTGCTTGCAACCTCAGATTTTTTTTGTTTTCCGTCACGAGCTTCGACTATGACGTGCGTGGGTCTATTCCTTGATCGTTTTTTCGCGCCGCCGCTGCTAACTATTTACAGAGTATTAATTACACACACACGAACAGGTGACGCCCGAACTACTGCAGTCATTGCGAGACTTCTTCGCCCCCCATAACGCTGACCTGGAGGAGTTGCTAGGACGATCTTTGCCGGACAACTGGTCGACCGTAGCCTCTGGTTTCCATTAGAAGAGCGAAAATGTTTCGGAGAAGTAGACACTGACCACTTCCCACTGAACGATTCATTCAGTAAACCCGACATTGTTTGCCTGTATTAAGGGAGGTTCGTGTGCGTGTCTGGAGAGGAGAGGAACGCTTGGTTGATGTTGCGTAATCACTGCGCAAAATTGATCGCGATATGCATGGTCCTCACGCAACGCTTCGAGTTTCTGCATACTGTAGTACTGTATGTAGTGTGGTGTGGAAACAGATCTTGTCAAAAAATATTTGTGAGTTCGTTGTGGCCTTTCCATGTGTGTTTTTATTATTAGCATCGACCGCGCTAACCGGCTGACCAATGAAAAGACGTCAGTCTTAGTGCCGTTGAAAACACAAAACACTTCTATCTACCATGAACTGGGACCGACCCCGTGTGTGTGTGTGTGGGTGTCCATCTGTCGAAAGGAAGCCTTCTTGTTGGCAAGTGCGTTTGTGCCTATAGAAAGAATGTTACCTAGCCCCTGCTTTGCAGAGTTTCGCGGCCCGACCCTCTTGTCTCGCATCTGTTCATCAGCCGCATGTTGTCTAGACTGTTGAAAAAAATGTAGGCCATGCGTGGCAGACGCCCATCCGGCGGCCGTCCAAGCGACTTCTTTATTCTGCTCCTCTCAGAACGCAGGTTGAGCAAGGGTCTCGAATCGTGTGACTGTCGCCAGGAAGTGACAGGCTTCGTCGGTCATGGATAGCACCTGCCTAGCATGTGTGATGGTGCGCAGCTCGGTTTAATGTTTCATGGAGAGGACGAGACCCACGGTCAGCGTTGGAGTGAATGGAGAGCGGGCGTGAATGAGGTGAGCCTGGTATTGTGACCATGGAGATTCATTCGTGGCTGTTCTTCGAATAGAACAACAAGATGCCAATGGATTGAGCATACTGCAGTAGTCGCCGTTTAAGCCAAATTCAGGTACGACGTGCGTGTGCCCCGATGATCTAGATCGGCCGTCGCTATGGTCGCAAAACCAGAGTAAGATGTACTACCCGTTATGTCCAACAAATATCGAGGCTCTGTCATGCACCATCATGCTGTTGACAACGCATGTATTTATGTCTGGATCGAGCCTGATAATAGGCGGCACTACTATCAAAAACAATCACATCAGAAGTAGCCGACCTTTCTTTCCCCCTTCCTCATCCAGCAGGTCCAAGCCGGTGAATTCGAAGATGTTTGCAAGGGCTCCAACGGTGATTGCCGCCGTCTGCTCCAGGAAAGTCACATGGACGTGGAATAACTGTCGTTGTCATTGCCTCTATTGTTTCATTAATACACTACTATTTGTTTTGGTTGTCGTTGGCGATAGCCAACAATGAATGATGGATACCCGGTGGCACACACACCCCAACCGTAGACTACGCAATCGTTCGGATATACATGAAGGAAAACGAAATCTGGTGAGGGTGTACGTGAGTTCGTTGTGATGCAAATACCCCTATTAAAACAGCACATAGAAGCGATCAGAGCTTCTCGTGCGGTGTCTTCTACCGCGTTGTCGTGCTGAAAAAGAGTGGGCTCCAAGGTTGCCCACACCTTGCTCGGCCAAATTTTCCATGCCGATGATTTGAAACGAAATACGGTCTTTGCTGCCGAACACTTTCCGTGCGGTTCACCACCGCAGCTAACAGTGCCACGTTCGGGGTGCCATTTTCACTGCTACGGGGGGCTGCCGGAGGGCACGTTGACGAGAAATGGGCTCGAAAAACAGCGGCGAAACCGGGGACCCTACGAACACCACCATGAGAGGCAGGTGTTGACTGGAACATTCCCCCCACCTACGGCTCAACAATAATGATCAATTTTCAGTGTCTCTCTGTCTATCTGTTAACCTGTCTGTCTGTCTGTCGGTCGGTCTCTCTTTGTCTCTTTGTCTCTCTGTCTCTCTGTCTCTCTCTTATTCGATATACTCGTAGCATAGTATGGGGGTGGCATATTGCGTGTACATACTTCGAAGTATGCGGGATTTGCAGTGACGAACGACGGAGGAACAAGAAGTTTCTTTATGCTTTCCTTGGGAGTGTGGTAGATTGGTGGACATTCATGGAGATTCGTTTTGGGTGTTTGAGCGTTATGCGTGACTTGATGCCGTGATGGAATGACGAGCTCAAGCACGCCCCCGATGAATACAACACGTCTT